TTTTATTGTATGTTTACCCAATTTAATGGTGTAAGAATACAACTCAATAATTATTTCCACCCGTAAGTCTTCAATCCCGGTTAAAGGTAGAGAAGGCTTACGGTGTATTTAAAAAGTGTTCTATTTTATGATTATATCAATTTTAGCTCATATTCCTTGTAACAATTATGTTTATGATTGGGCCCTTAATTAAAAATCACAAACATTTCAAATTTATTTATTTTTAAATACAACATCTAAGTAAAAATAAAATCAACAATCCATGTTTAAAATATTCAAAACATTAAGATGGACAATTAATTACACCAACTTCTAACCCCAATGGAATTTAGAAGTTCATAGTTTGAAGCTTAAACAAATAAATATTTATTACAATAATAAAAATCTTACAAAATGGAAGATGTGTTCTTGAGCTCCAACTAAAATTGATGGTGTTGATGATGATGATGAAGATGGAGTAATTTTTATGTGTTTGGAAGAAGAAAGTGGTGAGATATTAGTGATGGAGGAGGAGAATTTCGGACTAGAGAGAAGGAAGAAAATAGGGGTTCCAACCTCTTTAGAAGAAGAGAAGGGAGGTGTTTTTATAGATGAATCCGTATATACGGATTATATACAAACAGTGCACCAATTGTCAATACAGGTACAGTAGCCCACATGGAAATGAGGTTGTTTGTCTCGCCACTTGATCCCGTGTTTGATTCCCCATCCAGTGTCGGTGTTTTGTCATTTTTCTCTCAAATCATGGCCGAATTTAAATTCAGAACATTATCCGTGTCCGCCAGCAATATGCCGAATAATATGCTTTGGCGCGATGGTCAGTGCTCCGGATCTACATGCGCACGTCCAGAGTTCGAACCCCGGGCTGTTTTTATGCTTTTTTTTGTTTAATTCCTTCCTTTCTTCAAATCTCTTCCATTTATTTTGGTCCCAAACTTCCATGTTTATTTTCCGTTCTTGAAATTGTTCTCAATGCGTCCAAATGGCCTCAAAATACCTGCAAAACATATAAAACCAAACATAGGACTGCTCTCCCAAAATAAAACGGAAAATTGAAATAAAATATAAATATTAAATTCAATTGAGACTCAAAACTTCTTCAAAATATGTCTAAAAAGTGTATAAAATATGTGCATATCAGGGGGTGTATTCAATCAAGATTTTGATGGATTTTTTTGTATTTCGAAAGTCTGTAGGTATTCAATTCAGATTTGAAAAAGTCATTTAAAATTTGGGTGTATTCAATTCAGATTTTTACAAATCTTTCTAAATATGACGGTATTCAAAAGTTGATAGATTTTTAAAGATTTTTAATATTGTAGATTTTGATGGATTTTCATGCCTACAAATCCATGCTCCAAATCTGACCAACATCCCAGGGATTTTGCAGACTTCTGCTTCGATTTGTGCAGCGGCCACACCAACACACACAGTGATGGTCCAAAAAGGGGGAAAACATTGATACAAATCACTTGTGCAGAAACTTCAATCTAATGGATGAGATTTGGGAAAAAGCCATGGAGACTGCTTTGGAAGGCCAGACGGATCCGTCTTCCGTCCGGAGTTTGCCCATGGACGGTGTCGTGAAGTGCGTTCACGGCCGCTTGCCTCCGCCATCGGTTTTTGAGAGATTTCGGAACCTACGGCATTTGTCTATTGCAAATATAGGCGTCTCCTCTTTGGAACGCTTAACTCGGCTTCGGAACTTACAGAAGTTGATTTTATCCGACAATAGAATCTCCGGAGGGCTAGATTTGGCAAAGCTCAAGCTTGTTTCTCTCGATCTGTACGAGTGTTCGGTGACAAGGGTTAAGGATTATCGATCAAGTGTTTTGGGACTGATAGAGTCCTTGAAGTCCTCGATAAAACTGATGCGGAAGGGAATGAGAGGCCTGAGTCTTATGAGGAGGAGGATGATGAGGAGTCAGACGAGGAGGATGACTACGATACCAGGAGAGTGGAAGTTGATTGTGAGGATGGATTTACTTCCAAAATCCAAGTAAATCAATTGAAAAGTAAGTCAAACTTTGTATGTAGTCTATGGATTTCTAAATCCTTCAACTTTTTAAAGTTCAAAAAAATCTTAAAAAATCCGGATTAAATACACCCCCTAAGCCATGCTAAAAGGATGAATGACTTAGAGCCACATCATTAAGTTAAATAAAATTAGTTCATCCAGCCAGAGTTACAAAGTGTTGTAATTGGAATTAGTTTCTACCTGAAATACTTTAACTATAGGGCAAGATGCAAAGCACAACTATAGTTAGATGAACTAAGGATCTAGGCCCTCAAGAGAATTTTTATTTAAAATAACCTAGCAAACCAAGGGTTGTGATAGTGATTACAATTGGAAATTGTTCCTACCTAATGAGTTTAACTATAGGGCAAGATGCAAAGCACAACTATAGTTAAATGTAATACGGACCTTAGCCCAGTAAGGAATTTTTCTAACGAATAATTCTCGAATCAACAAGTTATAGACTAAAGGGTGGTTGGTTTGTTTAAAATAGTGGGAGAGTTTTTAATTAAAGTCCTGATTAATTACTTAAATTCTTGATAAATAACTATTTTGCAAATCTTCTGTAGATGACTACTTTCCCGAAAAAACTGATCCTACACAATTTCCCTGAAGAGGAAAAATTGCATGGGGAAAACTTCCTTAAAATGGCGTAGTGACATAATGTGTGTTCTGTGCGAGCATAATATTGAGTATGTGCTTGAAGTGCCCATCCCGGAATGACCTAACATGTTTACAATCATGCGTAAGTTTCATGTTTATTATAAACACGTACCTGATGATGAAACTATGTCGAAGTTTATGCTGGCCACCATGACGAATGAGCTCTCGCAAGAATTCCGTGACATGAAAGCACTCGATATGATTGTTGGATTGAGTGACCTCTTTGTGGGTCAAAGTGAGCATGAAAGGTTCCCGGCTGCAAGGGCACACTGCATGACCCTGAAGAAGGATGATGACACCTCCACTTCAGGTGTGTATGTTATAGAAGTTAACATGTCTACTTCTTTGTCATGGGTACTAGATACAGGATGTGGATCTCATATTTGTACTTAATTGCAGGGACTGAGAGAACGTCGGCAGTTGGCTCACGGGGAGGTTGAACTACGTGTGGGCAATGGCAAAACTGTTGCTACTGTGGTTGTCGGCACTTATAGTTTAATCTTACCATCTGGTCTTATTTTACAATTAGAGAATTGTTTGTTTGTTCCAGCTATTAGAAAAAACATAATTTCCGTTTCATGTCTTGACAAGAATGGTTTTATCGTTTCAATAAAGGACAAATGTTGTTCCATTTATAGAGATGGTGTGTTTTATGCTAATGCTAATATGACCAATGGATTGTATGTCCTTGATTTAGACATGCCCGTAAATAACATATCAGCCAAGAGATCCAAACCAAATGGTATGAATCTCACGTATATATGGCATTTTCATTTGGGCCATATAAACCAGAAACGCATATCTAAACTTCACAAGGGTGGAGTATTGAAACCATTTGATTTCGAATAATATGATACACATGAATCCTGTTTATTGGAAAAGATGACCAAAGCTCTTTTCACCAGTCACGGAGAAAGGGCAAATGATCTTCTAGCACTCATACATACAGATGTATGTGGGCCCTTTAACATAACGGCAAGAGGCGGTTACTCGTACTTCATTACATTCACTGATGATCTTAGTAGATATGGACATGTGCTTCTCATGAAACACAAGTCAGAGGCATTTGAAGTTTTCAAAGATTTTAAAAATAAAGTAGAGAAGCAACTCGGAAAGGATATCTAAACCTTACGATCTAATCGTGGAGGAGAGTACCCGAGCCACGAGTTTGATGACTATCTCAGAGAGCATGGGATTCTATCCAATTTACTCCTCATGGCATGCCACAATGGAATGCAATGTCTGAGAAAAGGAACCGAACCCTGTTAGACATGGTTCGATCTATGATGAGTCATGCAACACTACCAGACTCGTTCTGGGGATACGTCTTAGGTACGTCAGCATATACACTCAATAGGGTTCCAACCAAAGCGGTCGAAGGGACACCGTATGAGATATGGACGAGGATGAGCCCGAAATTATCACATATCAAGATTTGGGGCTGTGAGGCTTATGTCAAATGTCTCATATATGACAAATGGAAAGCTCGATGCCAAATCTGACAAGAGCATTTTCATCGGGTATCCCAAAGAAACGCGAGGATACTAATTCTACCATCCAACTGACAACAAAGTGTTTGTTGCTTGGAATGGTGCCTTTCTTGAAAAGGAATTTCTCACTAAAGGAGTTAGTGGGAGTATGATAGATCTCAAAGAAATTCGAAACAATGATAATGAGATCACACAGGGTAGAGAACATGAGGAGGACGAATTTATCGTTCCACCTCGACAAGATAAGAACACGCAAGAACTCCGTAGGTCATATCGAATACGTAACGAAGCTGAACATTATGGTTTCCACCTAACCTATGAAGGTGATGTGTTACTTATTAAGAATGATGAGCCTGAAACCTACCTTGACACAATCAGTTCCCCTGAGGCTAAGGAATGTCTTGAAGCAATGAAATCTGAAATGGGATCTATGTACACGAATCAAGTTTGGAACTTGATTGAGGCACCTGAAGGGATCAAACCCATTGGGTGCAAGTGGGTCTTCAAGAAAAAGACTTACATGGATGAAAAGGTACAAACCTTTAAGGCACGATTGGTAGCAAAAGGTTATAAACAGATTCAAGATGTTGATTATGATGAAACCTTTTCTCCTGTCGTGTTGATCAAGTCCATTCGGATAATACTATCTATTGCAGCATACTATGACTATGAGATTTGGAAGATGGAAGTCAAAATAACTTTCCTCAATGGAAACCTTCTAGAGGATGTGTACATGACATAACTGTTAGTCGGTTTAGACGTTGTGCCCACGCCTTAGAGGGGGGTGAATAAGGCGTTTGAAGACTTTTCGGAGTTTAATAAAAAACGGTGTTGGCAAATGCGGAAGCAATATATAAAACGCAGAAATAAAAGCGTAAATAAAATGCACACCGAATTTATACTGGTTCGGGAACTCCCTACTCCAGTATCTCGAGGATCCTCCTCAAGGATTTTCGAATCCACTAAGTTCCGGCCTCTTGAACTCAGTCAAAGCACCGCACTAGTTTGGCAAACAACCCTTGCCAATAGGATTCACTCCGAGATTTCAATAGTATTGAGTTTTGTGTTTGACATGCTTGAAGAACCAAAGATCATAAACCTTGAAATTGATGTTAAAACTATGAATTAATGATGCCAAAATGATTTATGAACCTTGGAGAACATCTCTATATAGTTTCGTTGAAGTTCGATAACTAAAAACGGTATTTCCGAAATTGGACCCGAACGAAGAAGAAGATGAACAGTGGCTGAAACACCACTGTCTGGATCGATCCAGGGGCTTGGATCGATCCCCTGGGAGTGATTTTTCATAGTTTGGATCGATCCAGAGGGCTGGATTGATTCCCCGAATTTCTGATCCGAAAATTTGTCCAAAAATCCTATTTTTGAGCTCTAAAATCCTATTTTTGATACCAATTGATTATGATTATTTTAAGGATGATTCTTTACAATAAAAATGATGTTTTTAACGAAAAAAAAGTTATGTGATGCATGATGGTAAGTTCGGGTGTTAACACTTAAAACTAGACCGCTATTTGTTATCAATTGATATGTTGATTGATGATTATGATGATTGATTATTATGGATGATTATGAATGATGAACTTACTGATTAAAATGATTACTTATGATCGAACCATGAGTAAAATGAATATATTGATAATTATTAAACGATTTGTATTGTTAAGGGTATCTAGAAGACCTCTAAGATATACTCATATTAATGTTGATTTGAAAGGTATCTAAAAGACCTCTAAGATATACCTATTTAAGTTAGGCCTTGCGGGTATGAACCCCAGTGGCTAGGGTTAAAACGTACGTACGAGATTCAAGAACCAAACTTGAGTACCTACTCGTTTGGGGGTACCACCCACCCAATAGTGAACACTACACTGTCGGTTTCTGGTTGGCCTTAAGTGAAGGTAAGTTTAAGATTTTCAAAACCCTTTTATCTTAAACTAGGCCTAGCTTAAGGATTATTTAGGAGTACTCTATACTGGAATATAGTTTAATTATTTAAACTAGAATTCATTTAAGGGTTGATAAACATTAAAGTGATTGGCCTTAAGACTAAGAATAGTTTAAAGATATTGTTGAATATTGAGTGTGAATGAATATTGAATGATGATTATTGAATTGAATATTGTGATTATTATGAATGACAGATGATCATTGAATATGAATGAATATTAATTATTGAATTGAATATTGTGAATATTATGAATAACCAATGAACGTCGAATGTAAATATAAATGTTGAATAATGAATGATGAATACTGACTAATGATTATTGAATATATGAACTAAACATTATGTGCATGTTATCAAATGATTTGATTATGAATTTAGATTCAGTTTATATGGATGTTCGACGCATTAGATATGCTTACTCAGCTTCAACGCTGAGCGTGTAGTATGTTTTATTTGCTACATGCAGGTTAATAGAAAGAATGAAGTGACGTGATCCTGGAGGCAGACGGAGGCGAGATTGTTGGAATGGATGTGATGGTTTTGAATTAAAGAACATAAATAAATTATGTTTGTGATTATGATTTGTTAAGCTTCCGCAATATTGAAAACTCCGTACTGTTTATATTATGAGTAATATTATTATGATAAATAAAAGTGTTTGAAATGTTTTGAATTTTGACGATTAACAAGTTAATACTTTAGTCCAAAAGGGGCTGCAAATCTGGACGGATTAGGGTGTTACACTTTCCTTTCACTTTATAGCCAGAAAGGTTACCATACAATGGGAAATCAATGATCGTGCAAAAAATCATTACTCGCAATGTAAACGACTCTTGATGATGAGCATCAAATACAGTCACACCATGAATCCATATTTTCTTAACATCAAACATGGGGGCTAGATACACATCTATGTCATTACCTAGTTGTTTAGGCCCGGGTATTAACAAATACAACTTGATGTACTTACACTTTGTGCACAACTCTTGTGGTGCCAGGTTGTATATCACGAGCAGTACTGACCAAGTACTATATTGGGTACTAAGGCTTCCAAATGGATTGATCCCATCAATATAAAGACCCAAACAAAAACTCAGGAAACATGAAGTCATATGTCTTCCACTGCATGGAATTGGTTGAATGGCGTAGAGTGCCATTATCTTTTCGCTGCTCATGATGCCAAACAAGATTCTTAGAATCTTTAATCCTCACGGTCATACGATTAAACCTTGGTAGATACCACATAACTTTAATTGGAATCCTTGATTCATCTTGATTGACCACAAATCTAAATTCATCTTGATTGACCAATTTGCGGGTTCTAATTGTCCAATCAACATTTAAACTATTACATACTCCCTCAGTCTCATTTTATATGGCATATTTTGGTTTACATTGTTTGACGGCAATTATTTTCAATTCAATTTATAAGACAATTGGGGTGAAATTAAAAAAATAAAACTTACATATTTAAAAACTAAATCAAAAGCTTTACAAAACAAGTGGTGACATGACTATATTGTTTTATCAAATGACTAGCAAAAACACGTAAAGAAGTGAATAAAGTTTGACTTTTTGGCATGGATATTTTATATGTCATGTTATTCGGGACAAATGGAGTATTTAGCTGAATTGAAGCAATGCAATAAGGATATGAAAATATAGAATTTCTGAGAGCAATAGTGTCACTTTGTTGAATTTCAAGTAATACAGAGATACGTAAAATATGCATTTTGTAGTATTCATGTGAATTTTTTCCACTAGGTATATTTTATCATGTGAGTGAGACAATTCACATAAATTCCGTGGACCTAAGATCCATGTGAGAAGCACTCTGAAAAGGGAATGTGTTCTTACCATCTTCTCGCTTGGAGCTATGGTCCATAGAGAATTGTGAAGGACATGTATAGTTTATTTTGGTGTCATTTTTCTAGTTTCTCTGCAACTGTTAATGCTATTCCAATTTGTTGTGCAGGTTTTAATCTACCACAAAGCCTTTCTGGTGCCATACACCGCATGTAACGGCACAGATCCCATTTCTGTCAAGGAAGTGGATGATCATGCTTCTCAATACATCTCATCATCGGTTTTTTGGCATGGCCAACAAACTGCCTTGGTAACAGCAAACTCCAGGGGTGACATCAAATGATTGGAGACGGTTTAACG